TTATCATGTTTTACTTTGACGTCACCATTGTTTTGTTAGTGCAATGCATTCTGGGCAGTGAAGTCCACAGGTTGCAGGTGAGACTAAAACTCTAAAGTGTCATGGCTGAACAGTTACAATGCGTGATAATAAAGGAACGTTTTAACGTGATCTTTGGTTTAATAGTCTCAGATTAGCAGACTGATAAGACACAGACTCCGAGGTAAAAAGGTGAGTTTGTTTACACGATGTTGGAAGAATTAGCTGCTGTCAGGGAACAGGGGATAATGTGAGTACGTGCAGTTTTCAGGGTATTTAACTTGTTGTTCATTGTCTTACTTGTGGTTGTTTGCTGGTAGCATTGGGGGGTGAACGAGGTCCTTCAGAGGGAGATGAAGGTGTGATCCAGAAAGATGAGTAACCGCAGCCGTCAGGATCAGGTGCAGGCGTGGAGGACTGAATGACAATCAGCTGTGGGGAATTATGGCTGAAAACAGTTTTGTGTCGGCCCTTCGGCCGTTCTGCACAATAAATGGGTCAAACGTGATCAACTTGTGGTGCTTTGCACATTAGCTCTGACGCTAAAGCAAAAGCTAAAAGGCCAAAGACGCCCCCCCCCCCCCCCATGAACCAGCTCCATCCTCTATCTGCTGGGCAGCACCAGACCAGTGTGAGCAGGTGATGGATGGAGGTGTACAGCAAACATGTATTAATATATAATGTGCAATAATCTGAGAACACGTTTGGATGTTTGTCGTGAACATCTGGTGAAAGGAAGCGGAGCTCTCTGCAGCACAAGCGCTCTCATCAGCAGCTCTTCTGTCCGACTCTTCTCTGTTGATCTTCCTCATTTTCAGATGCAGGCTGAGACATTTCTACATTTCTATGTTTGTTTGGTCTCCCTGAGGTCCAGAAGGTCTGGTTCTCGATCCGGTTCTGCTGCTCAGATCAACAAAATCATCTGATCTGATGCAGCTAAAGTTCAGTTAAAATGATGCTGATGTTCAGCATTGAGCAGCTTTGTTCACCGTCACAGAAGATTAATCTTCATCATCTCCAGAACACCTAAAAATCCTCTACATTTTAACCAGAACCAGAACCGCCTGCAACAGCAGAACTCTGCAGAACATCTTGTCATATATGGGATGTTTCTGTGATAAAAACAGATTTTATTGTGAGCATTAAAACAATTTAACAGTTCAATATTGAAACACTAAACTGCTCTCAAGCCCAGTTCAGCGTTCCTGTGATGTAACTCCTCTATTAAAAACCTTTGCTTTTATTAAACTTTATTTTTTTTGTTTTGTTTTTTGAGTCTATCTGTTCTTCACACCCTGAACTCTCCAGGGCCTCTTTAATTCTGTTCCCTGGCGTCGCATCTGGATGTTTGATCAGCGCCTCGTGCACGCTGTGCTCGTGGATTTTTGTAGATTATTTTTATTGTGGAAAATATATTTATTTTTCCAGGAAATGTGGTGATTTGTTACGGGGTCCGTTTTATGCCGAGACCCCATCAACCCACACGTCTCGTTTCCACGCACGCTAACAACGACAGAGTCTTACATGTGTTTGCTTTGAAGAAACTTTTGGTTCAGCAACATAAAAGCTGGCGTCCTCAGTGGGCATGACCTTTGACACCCAGAAGAATTTACTGTGAGGACCCCTCGCTGTGACTCGGCTAAAAGAAAACGTTTGACTCAGTTCTTTCGATTCGCCCTCTCGCCGTGCAGACGAGGCGAAGCCTGCTCTCCTTCTGTCGGCATCTCAGAACTGAATGAAGGAATGCATATCACCCGCCGTCTTTCAGGCCAAAGATTGGAATAAACGTTTGGTGTGATCTGTCAGCTCTCAGAGGATGACTCTCAGCTACCACTCCACCAAAGTTTAGCTCGTTCTCTCTACTACGGACTGAGTCAAAGCAACGTGTTTCCTGAGGATGATTAACGGTGGCAGACATCTTGAACTGGGTTGTATTCAAAAGTTGATCAGACATTAAACAATAAATATGTCGTTCCACCACAGCCAAGTAATGTTTGGAGACCAGATTCCATTTTAGGATTTGAAAACTTGTTTGGATTTAGTTAAAAATGAGTAAATATAAATGTTTTGGTGCAAGATGTTCACGTGGAGTTACACTGTGGAGAAGGACGGAGGAAAGATTTTATTTTGTGTTGCCTGCAGATGATCCTGGACAGCGAAGGAAGCCATTTTATTCACCACCAGGTGCAATGGCAGAGCTAGAGGGTGGCTAATGGTGGCCTTGGACACCTTAGATTAATCTATGGCCACCCCACTTATTTGAGGAAACTAACTTTTAACCAAAATAAAAACTAGAAAGCATAGTTTCCTCAGATGATCCTGTTTTAGCTTGGATTTTGACCTGGCAACCCAGTTTTTGAAAAGAAGCTTTCCTACACCTACATGCAGTCACACACAAAATGGAAGTCGATATTTCACTTTTGTTTCAAGTTATCGTGCTCACAACATGCATGGATGGTTGGATGGATGTACGAATGGACGAATGGACGGAGGTTATTTCCAATTCCTCCTTTTTGCTCCACGACGGTGAACAAAAAATCTAAATCAGTGCAGCGCTGCAGACTTCATGTGTCTGCAGATATTTCTGTGTAGACTGAGACACAATGAAAAATGAAAGCTACCTCAGCCACACAGAAACTTTTAATTATCAAGAAATGTTTTTTATAAAAAGAAAATGATGGAGCAGAGGCTGAACTCTCACCGACCCGTCCTGTCCGTCCACCTGTCTCTTTTGTCCATCAACCCAGATTCGTTGGACAAAAGAATTAGTCGGGCCCTTGAGCCTGTTTGCAACCAACACCAACAGATTAAAAAGATTTTCAGAGAAACTGTTTTGTTTGGGACAAAAACGAGAGTCTGGTTGCAGAATCAGACGGCAGATATTTGAGTTAATCTCTAAGGAGTTTCATGTGGGGAACAACTCAAAAAGGACGGGAACAAGGGAGGGACACTTTTCATCAGCTGAACCTAACAAAAGGTGTTCTAATCCAGGTCTACCTAGATTATTGAGCATGCATCAGGACAAAAGGAGGTGTTTTATTCAATGAGCAGTGTGTGCGTCACAGTTAAATTTCGTCATATAAATAAATATCAATTCATTTATTTAACGCCAAATCACAACAGAAGTCGTCTCAGGGCACTGAACAAAAACATTCACAGACTTTATAAAAGTCAATCAGTAAAAGTTTTGTATCTGAGGAAGCAGCAGGTTGTGTTGAATCTTCACTTCATCACAGTCTCACAACCTGAGCAAGAACAGAGGAGACAGTGGGAAGAAAAACTCCCTTTAACAGGAAGAAACCTCCAACAGAACCAGGACCAGGACGAGCGAACATCTGCTTCAACCGGCTGGTTTGAGAGGACAGGAAGTAGAAACAGACACAGAATGACAGGTCCAGGTGTGGTTTCTAAAGTCTAGGTGTCCTTTCTATTGGAGGAAAGACAAAAATCAAGTTAAGATAAAAATAATTACGAACAGGGAGAGCAGAGTAAGTAAAGACATCAGCAGAGAGAACATGTGGTCAGTTTGTCCTCCAGCAGTCTAAGCCTACAGCAGCAGAGCTAAGGGATAGCTCAAGAAACCCAAGCCAACCTTAACTATAGGATTTATCAAAAGGGAAAGTCTTAATCCCAGTCTTTAAACTGGACAATGTGTCAGCCTCACAGACAGAAACTGGAAGTTGGTTCCACAAGAGAGGAGCCTGAAAACTGAAAGATCTTCCTCCCATTCTGCTTTTTGGAAACTCTAGGAACCACAAGTAAACCTGCAGTCTGAGAGTGAAGTGCTCTGTTAGGAAAATATGGGACAATAAGATCTGTAATATAAGATGGAGCTAGGTTGTTGAGAGCTTTGTAGGTTAGAAGTAAGATTTTGAATTCTATTCTGGATTTGACAGGGAGCCAGTGGAGAGAAGCTGAAACTGGAGAGAGATGATCTCTCCCAGTAACTCCAGTTAAGACTCTGGCAGCAGCATTTTGGATCAACTGAAGACGTTTTAAAGAAGTATTTGGACACCCAGATAATAAACCATTGCAATAGTCCAGTCTAGACGTGACAAATGCATGGACCAGTTCTTCTGCATCATCTTTAGATCAGATGTTTCTAATGTTAGTGATATTACGCAGGTGGAAGAAGGAGGTTCTGGGAACACATCATGCAGATGAGATTCAAAGTCTTCCCAGTGTTTCAATGATGAGGATCTTTATTCTGAAGTTGTACCATTATTTTCCATGTTCCAACATTTTCAGAGCTGGGTTTGTACAGGATATATATGTGTGGGACGGAGAAGGCCCGGCTCATCTCTTCAGTTCTGTTTGAGCACAAACCTGACCCACAGTCCTGCACACAGACGTGTACCTGCACAGACTCACCTGCCCGACTGCCACCATGTGATGCTGAGGGAGGTGTTAATCTTTAGTTGTTTTCTTGTGATGTCTGGGACGGCTCATTCCAGCGCAGCTCCTCAGACCCACAAAGTCCTGCAGTCGTCTCAGCGGTTAACGGTCCAACAAGGTAGGAAGAACTGTGGAGGCTCTTTTTTACTCTAAATCTGTGAGAGCAGCGTGGCTCCAGAGAACTCCTGTCTCAGCTAGAATACAGTGTTCAAAACAACATTTAAGAAATGAAATGTGTTTTTATTGAGTCTTCTTATAAATGATAAGAAGACAATAAAAGTAATAATATTAAAAGTAGTGGTTCAGAAGTGTCACAGAGGTGAAACAAATCTGAGCAGAACAGTGAGTAACGTGAGCTGCAGTGTCAGGAGCACAAACACAAAAGACGTGCTCGGGATGATAAGAGCAGCTCTGAAATCTGAGCCGACATCAGGGAAAGAGCTAGTTCTGGTTCAAGTTGCAGGGCTTCCAAAACTGCACACTGCTTCTTTAATTCTAACACGTTCGGGTGTGAATCAGTAAAAGGCTGAATGTGCAGACACACAACACTCGGCTGTTTTATAAATGTACATTTATTTATGCTTGACACAGTGAATCGGGCCAGAGTAACACGAGGAGGGAAAGTCTGCTCCAGGTTTGTAGTTCAAACAGAGAACAGGTGAAGCTGCAGCACTTTTAGCTATATTTTTGCATTTTAGCCCCCTTTTTCTAGATTTAACTTTTAGATACTGTTTTGCTACTTTTAGCCAGCATTTGACAAGTTTAACCTTTCGCTTCTAATATTTTGCTTTTCTTACTTAACCGTTTGCTACCTTTTTCTTGTAGCGGTTATATTATTTTAGCTAGCCTTTTGCAAGTTTTGGAAAGCTTTTCGATGCTCTTAAGTAATTTTTAGGCTTTTTCTACATTTAGCTTTTAGCTACTGTCCTATTACTTTTAACTTTTAGGAAGCCTTTTGCCTCTTTTAGCTTGTAGTATATCTGTTTGAAACTTTCAGCTAGCATTTTGCTACTTTGGCAAGCTTAATTAACCTTTTGCTACCTTTTGTTTCTCATACTTTGTTAACCTAAACCTTTAACTGTTTGCTACCTTTCACTTGTAGCTGTTATATTGGAGAGTGGTGGCACAGAGGTCAGAGCATCCCTGATGCATCTTTACATTTCTATGCTGATGATACAGTTGTTTATTGTTGAGCTAAAACAGTTACTAAGGATTTCCAGCTCTTACAGTCTGCTTTTGTCATTATCCAGTCTGATTTGTTTAATCTCAAATTTATGATAAACACTGACAAAACCAAAGGAATGCTATTTTCAAACAGGAAGTCAGTCCAAGCAGTTCTTCCCTCGAGTTCATCCTCGAATGGTGCTCCTGATGAGTTTGTTGGTTCCTATAAATATTTGGGTATCTTGGTAGATTCACATCGTTTAAACTCCACGTGGAAAACTTGATAAAGAAACTGAAAGTTAAACTGGTTTCTTTTTCAGAAACAGCTCCTGTCTAACTCTGAATGTTAGGAAACACCTTGTATCTGTGACTTTCCTTCCCTCCATTGATTACGGTGACATTATTTACATGAACGCTCCTACAAGAACCTGCAGATGTTGGATGCTGCAGATGATGGATGCTGCAGATGTTGGAT